GTGCCTATATGATTGTGTGTGTCTGCCAGATTGTGTCAAATCAGTGAGTGTGTGTGTATGTCAGTGTATCTGAGAGTGTGCTTGTCTGTGAGTGTGTGTCAGAGTGTGTCTGTCAGTCAAAATGTTTGTTAGTCTTTAACAGGAAGAGGTATGGTCTTGACAGGAAGGGGTTGGGCAAATTTAAATTAGGGGGCACCCAAGTTCTGTCATGCCTAGGCCAGCACCAATACAAAATACGCCACTGACTAGTATACACACACAGGTACACACAAGTACACACGGATACAGAAATGCACTGCCAGACACACACAACAGGTGTGGACAGACCATAGGCTGAGATGGCAAAGGGCAAAGGCCAACAAGGGAGAACTATGGATCTCTCCTGCCAGTCCATGCAGGGCCAAAGCTATCCAATCACACAGTCCTTGCTGTGTGCATTCATAGGCCCAAGGGAAGATCAAGCATGTCCTGCACTGGCCCAATGCAGCCTACTGTGTGGGTGGCAGGCAGAGAGGATCTAGTCTGGAGTTAAGACTTCTCCACGTGGGTTACTATGGACATTCTCTGATACTACACAGTACTGGAGCTCTTGAGAAGAGTACACTCAGTCTGCACCCGGAGAGGTGCAGACTAGAATCTCTCATTGCACCATTGGGTATCAGCATGACAGGTAAGAAGCAGGAAGTATGGGGGTGGGGGAGAATAAATAGTATTATCATTTTTTGTTAATAAACTGCCCCCTCTCAGTCTACACAATAGAGCTCCCCATGCATTGGCACACATTACAGCCACTGTACACAAACTACATTCTCTACACACACACACACACACACACTTCTTACACATATACTACAACCCCTGTAAACAGACACTCACTATATCCCCTTTACAAACATTAGCTACATCCCCTATATACACATACTACTTACTTGCCCCCTTTCCCGACTCCCACCCTCTTAAAGTTTGATTGAAGGAGCATTCTATTTTATAGCTAAACCTGTTAAAACAAAATTTGGCTTCATTTTGCATTATATGGTTAAAAGTTTTAAACTTCCGGATAAAAGGACAATCACACATCATGTACCCTCATATTGCAAGGAATGGGATGAGAGAGCGGATCAGGATTACATTATTTTTCTTTTCACTATGCACAGCGGTCATAAAGCGTATGGACCCTTGAGTAATACAGCGATGGTAGCAAAGATTCCGAGTGTGCCATAGGTTCATACTTTCGAAGTCTGGTACGGTAACCCCTATATCTGACACTGCAACCTTTATATAAAAGTGCTATTGTGAATGATTGCTATTAAGGCTCACCGTTAAGGGAATGTGAGACGCTTCCTTATGTTTTTATTCAATCTTTCCAAAATAAAATTTAATGTACTTCTTTGTGAAGGAATTCTTTTCTGTTTGATTCCCCTGGAGAGTTGACAGTTTCCATCATGAATTGACAAGTGGATACAGTGTATCATAGAGATCGTGTTATATGAATTAGAGGAGAATTGAATTATAAGCGCCAAGTATTATTTATGCAGCAGGGACATAATAATATCCTCCACATTTTTTTTATTGTCAGCTGTCAAATAGTACTTGAAATTATCAATTCACTCGCAAAAAGTGCAAAAAAAGCAAGTGAATATAAATGTGCATCCTGCCGAATGTATTTGGTCCTGAATTTTAGCACCAAATCCATCCAGGTGTTTGCTGCAAATTCGTTCGGCCTAACCAAATTCCAACCAGAATATCTCAGAATTCGTCCATTTTCACAGTGTTTAGATAATAACTCTGTGTATCTTTTTCTTTTAGCTCAATGCGAGAATAACAAATACAAAATGTTCATGTATCTGATCGGGTTTTGGTGAGCTTTTTCATACTGAGGCATGATTAGAGTCCCAATGTGTGGGGGCGTATTTTTCGAATAAAATAAATATAACAGCTCTTTGTGTTAGGAAGAGGAATCAATAATGACGTATTGTATCTGGAATTGAAAGTCTGAGTCAACCTACTTCACATCTTCTTATACCATGATTTCAGCCACATGTGATTCATATAACAATTGGTATAACTGTCCCTACTTTGTAAAATATCTTGATAAAAAGACATAGATCCAGCATGTATTTGTTTTAACATTCCAATTTCCATCTCAGTGCTACAGAGAAAAACAGTACATGTAGTAAGGAACAATTTCAGAATTGATAGTTATTAGACTTGGGTAGCTTGACCTCTGAGCAGTTATATTGGCTCTGACGTCACAAATTAAGTCACGAAGACGTACGAGATAGTCATCTTCCGTGTGAATGAGCAACACTTTGGGGACTTCATCGTATTGAACATGTTGAGTAATTCTCTCGTCTGCAGGGCAATATTATCTCGTATGAGATTTGAAAAGGTTAGTTTTATTGTTTCTGGTAAAAAAAAATAAGCAAGATGGAGGCAATGATGTTATTTATAAACACACATACACACGCACAAATATCCTCTGAGGGTTTATTTAATGTTATTAAAAGAAACAAAACCACTAACAAAAATACAGTTCACATTTAATGTGTACCGCTTTTTCCAAAGTTCCTTTCCGTTTATATTTTTTATTCCTCCTCGGTTCTGTGTACCACGGCAGAGCCTGAAAAGACTTTGTGTCAAATTCATACTGAAAGTTCAAAGTAAGTAAAAGTTTTTGTAAATGGATACATTTTGACAGTCATAGGTGTGGTATAAGGCGGCCTTAGAGGTTAAAGGCCCTGACGAAGTGCTCATTCGCACCCGATCTCTACAGTTAGTAAAGGAAAGAGGACGATTTTAATGCTTTTAATTTTTTCATTTGATATCTGGCAGCTTCTTTCCAAAGCAACCACCTGTTATAAAATGAAAGACGAATGGTACAGTGCTCTCCCAGCCCACAAAGGGGGTCAGTGATGTGGTACTCCCCAGGTAGCTGTCGGGTGGGGGTGCTGAGGAGCCAAACTTTGCTGCACACCCCTCTATTAGTAATGTAATGTGGCGGCATCAAATTGAATATCTGGCTCAGCAGCATCTACTTGCTTATGATTATACTTTCATTGAAACCCCCCCCTCTCCACTGTCACCCCACTGTCTTCTAAAAGGGTTCTCCCCCTTCTTGAACAGGTTTCAGGAGGCAGTAAATGCCGTCAAATGAAAAATCTCAACCTTTTAAGATACCCGCATATAATACCCGCATATTTTACAGTGCACTAACAGCAAAACATGTTTTAACGATTTTACTCATTTTAAAGTGGCATATGTTCACATATAAGTTTCTGCAGCAGCGTACTAAGGGGGAGGCGGGGGCGAGGGGGAAGTCCGCCCAAGGTGCCACTCACTAGGGGGGTGCCATGGCAGACATCCCAAGTCTCTCGGTAGTTCCTGGAGACTCACGCATTTTGCATGCGGCTCTTTGACACCAGCAAAACATGTATAATATCCCGGAAATCACACACACAATCTGACAAACAATATATATCATATTGTGTGTGTTCATTACCAGGATATTATACATGATTTAAACCCCACTCCCTCATACTCACTAAACAGGGGCTGGTAGGGCACTTTAAGAGCCAACTGGCCCCCTGTAGTATCAGTCAGCAGGAACTAAACGACTCCAGGGACTTCAGTTGATCCACTCCTCCAGCCCCTACTGTCTGTAAGTAAGAGTGTGTGTGTGTGTGTGTGTGTGTGTGTGACTGTCTGCCTGTGGCTGTATGTGTGTGTGTGTGTGTGTGTGTGACTGTCTGCCTGTGACTGTGTGTATGTGTGACTGTCTGCCTGTAACTCTGTGTGTGTGTGACTGTATGCCTGTAAGTGATGGTGTGACTGACTGTGACTGTCTGCCTCTGTCTGTGTGTTTGTGTGATTGTCTGCCTGTCACTCTGTGTGTGTGTGTGTGACTGTCTGCCTATGTGTGTGGGTGTGTGTGTGTATGACTTTCTGCCTGTAACTCTGTGTGTGTGTGTGTGACTGTGTGCCTGTGACTCTGTGTGTGTGACTGCTTGCCTACAACTGTGTGTGTGAGACTGTCTGCCTGTGACTGTGTGTGTGTGTGTGTGTGTGTTTGACAGTGTGCCTTTGAGTGTGTGACTCCCTGCCTGTGATTGGGGGATAATGCCTGTGACTGTGTGTAAGTGACTATGTGCCTGGGACTACACTCTGTAGACTGTTGCTAATATTGTTGTGTAAAAAAAAAAAGAATTATATTGCAAGGGGCTGAGCAGGGGCTTTAGAGAGAGAGGCAATTTTTTAGGGAAGGGAGGTGAAGGAATTTTATGGAGGCGGGGTGCAAGATTTTGTAGAAGGGGTACAGAGATTTTGTATAAAGGGGGAAGAGCAGGAGATTTTAAAAGGGGGTGCTGGGGTTTTGTAGAACGGGACAGGACATGTGTTTTGTAGAATGGCAGGCAGGAGAGGGGTTTTGTAGAATGGGGGGCAGGATAGGGATTTTGTAGAAAGGGACAGGACAGGTTCTTTCCAAAATTTACACTTTCGTGAAATTTTTTTAAAAGATTTTGAAAAGATTGCGGATGTTTTTTACATTTTAAAGTGTGGAGGGTGGAAGGGGGTGCCAAACACAGGTTCCGCCCCCTGATGCCAAATGCTCTAGGTACGCCCCTAAGTTTCATTGTAATATTTGGATATCTTTTTGTTTATTAAAGAAAGTATCATATGCAAAGACAAGAAAAGGCATGTGAATATTTTGGAATTAGTTGCATGAATTGGTCATAAACCGAAGTTTCAATGAGTGTCAACGAGATCTTTCAGAAATGTAATAATGTTTGTTTTGGAAAGCAGTGGCTTTCTTCATGGTGTCTTGCTATGGACACCTTGCCTGTTCAATATTTTATGTTTATGTTTCTTTTTTTAAATCTTAGAGAATTGTGTGGTGTACCTTTTGAGTCTTCTTGGCTGGAAGACACTTTTAAGCAGAGAAGCCACAGCACTAAATTGTCTCCATTTATTGACAATTTGTCTACCAGTGGACAGATGAATATCTAGTTGAGATAACATTGTAACCTTTTCCAGCATTATAAAACTTAACCATTCTTGATTGCAGAACATCTGAGGACTCTCTTTTGCAAGACATTGTCCACATCAACAGGTGCTTTTTGTGAATAGCAAACTCAAAAAGTTTGAGTGCTTTGTATACGTCAAAGTAGCTTTAACCCACACCTCCAATCTTATTTCATTATTTAGACACCAGGTTTGCTAATTTCAAACTCGAATTTGCTTTTTTTAAGGGTTCCAATACTTTTTCTTTCTACTTTACAGCTTTATCCAACAGAGTTAAACACAATTTTGCTCTTCAAACCTCAGCTTACCATTGTCAGTGCTTTCAGAACTTTTCATACTTTTTAAATGTAACTCTGTATACATCCTCAGACGTAAGAACCCGGCAGTGAGTGTACAGGAAACCAAAATAGCAGGAGGAAGCAAGCAATGAGGGTGAACGAGCAACGTTTAGTGCTGTGAGAGAGAAAGATCAAGAAAGACTGTGAAATCAATAGGTGAGATGGACGGTCCAAGAAGGCTATAAACCAATTGATTACAATATTGTCTATGTATAAGGCGTAAGTGAAATCGGTGGATGAAGAGTCAATAAGTGCATGGGATGAGCAGAGCTGAAACCTAAATTTATCATCAGAATGGGACTCACTCAATTCATCATTACTTTCTTAGTTCTATGTTCATCCGTTCACAGCAAAGACGAGCCAGGTAATATTTAAACTTCACATTATATTACATTGAATCACCAAATCACATCACAGATCATACCTCGCACGTGTGACACATTGTAAAGCACACAGACAGATATGTAAAAAGAACTATAAATATATTAACAGAAGTATTGCAAAAATCACTTCTTGACCTTTATGTAAACCATTTAAAAAAAAGCACTTGCATATATTTTTATTTTTGGGGGGTGAAAGTAGCAGATGAATTTTACCCCACGTAATGGATGAGTGCTGCGCAGGCACGGTACAAGTGGTGCAGCTGGTGTCCCAGTGGTTTAGGGGGGGCTGTTGATGCCTGTGGCACCCAGGGGCCACATGGGACCCTTCCCAGTTGTGTCAATACTGCTGACATCAGTTACGGTGATATTGAGTCACGGCGGCAGGGCGGGAACATTTGTTACTTAACATTTGTTACTTACCCAAATATCTACATGTGTGTAAAATGTATTAATTAAAGAATAATTATGTACAGCATCTAAAGTCCAAAATGAACAAAATGCCTGATATTCTGTTACTTAATCTATTTAATATAAATATAACAGAATGTACTGCATTATTTTAAAAATGTATTAAAGGAGCGGTCCTCAGCCCACCCTCAGTTATCACCTCAGGTCCCATTTTTACTTATGTCCATAACACAAGAAATAGTTTCACATTCTTGGACGGTTTTTGGTGGATGGATATTAATGTGGCAACCGTAACTGTAGACCATAGTGTTGATTGTGGCAAAAGTATTTATTTTCCACATTACCCCTTTTAATATTCCTCATAACAACAAAACATGTGTTTCTTAGACAATATATTTAGGTGGTTTCCATACAAATCTGACCATATTTGTATAGGCAGAATTAATGGTGATGGAGACATTTTGTGAGAGTAATTGTAATGACACTGTATAATAACATGTCTAAACTAAAACTGCTCTGAAATGGAATCGTCCGTAAGAGAATCTAGCCCACTCTTTTTGTGAATTTTACTAAAACTTACCGATATTGCAAAGCGTTGGGTTGACTGCTGACTTAAGGGAACTTCCACTACCACAAAAAAATAATTAATAATAATAATAAAATAACGTGGTCATAATATATATGTTTTGTGATCTAACATTTCTCATTAGCAGATTATCCTTGTTTGATTAATTTTATTGCATACCATTGTAGGTGTCAGTGATATATAATTGCCAAATGACTGCTCAGAATGGTCACAGCGATAAAGTATTTTTACTCTAGTGTTATTGTTATCAGATCTTGCTGTTTCACACAGGGTAACATCGGAGCTTGCATGTGGGGCTGCCTGCAGGATACAGGCTCCAACCAAGAGCTGGATTGAAAGACAGAACAATCTCTTTTAATTGGCCCAGTATTTATTTAGAGACTGTAAGAGTCTCTAAAATCAGGGGTAGGCGACCTTCGGTACTCCAGATGTCGTGGACAGCATCTCCACTAATGCTTTATCAACATTATAATTGTAGGAGCAGTATGGGAGATGGAGTCCATAATATAAGGGTTGCTTTTTCCTGCTTAAAAATGCTCCTTACAGAGATCGGCATGCCATGCTTGTACCAGACATTGCCATGGTAGTTGGGGAGTGGTAGTGGTAAGATTTTGGGCATTGCTGGAACTCCACATTTAAGGACCCAATGGTCATGAATTATCCCTTTATTTACCTTTAAGAGGACTGAGCACAGAACGTACAGTGACCTAGTATATAGACCAGGAGAAAATGGACCATGTAATAGAGGAAAAGGTAAACATACATAAAACATGCATACTCAGGAGAGCTAATGAAAGCTACTTTGGAGCTTCCAGCTCTGTGTCGGAAGTAGTGGGGTCAGGGAGAGGCACCTAATGAACCTCAGGTAAGAAATCAAAATGTTCTCAAATGGTTTAATTACTTACAATTGGGGTGGGGGAGAGGATGCACCAGGGCACTCCTGGCACCATCACCACTGCATGGCACCATCACCACTGCATGGCACTGCAACATTGTCAACCAATCAGTAATCTCCCATTTAGCATTCAGCAAGCAGCCAAAACGTTTTTCATAATTAAAGGGACACTATAGGCACCAAAACAACTTTAGCTTCATTAAGTGGTTTTGGTGTATAGATCATGCCCCACCAGTCTCACTGCTCATTTCTCTGCCATTTAGGAGGTAAATTAATGTGTTTTTTCAAGCCCTAGCCTCACCTCCCTGTTTGTGACTTATACGGCCTTCCTAAACACTTCCTGTGAAAAGAGATCTAATGTTTAAACTTCCTTTCCTGATCATACATGGCAGCATTTACTCATGGGTAAGCTTCACTTGCTACCAGAACAACAAGGGAATCCCTGGACATGAAGTCCCATTGCTGACCTCTGTTCTGATATTTAGGTGATTCTTCTGCGTGTCCTACTATCTGGACTTTGCAGCCAATGTGGTGGCTTTAAGCTGTGGAGTCATCCTGTAAAATATGATACTGTTTATGACAAACATTTGACTTAAAAAAAATTTCACACGGTCACTGTACCCAGATCCGTATAAGTTATGGTCACTCCTAGCATTGCATTGATGTAATCATTTAGGATTTTATGTTTTGACCCGTATTAAAATCTTTACTGATGAAACAAACTGCAGTAGGATCTAAAAATCTCCATAGGCTCTGCCGTAAGTCTTTCATCACTATATGAAGATAAGGTCAGTGTAAGCTTGTGGTTGTTTGTTCTCATGAGAAGAACGGAATATCTTTGACTATTCTACTTATGCGTCTCTTGCCACAATGTATCCTGTGCCTCTGGTTAACACCTGCTCATTGTTGTCTACCAATTACATTTTACCAACTTGTATTAATCAACCGTCTCTATTAATTCTGATTCTGTTGTTGCATAATTTGTACTATTTACTGGTTTTTAATCTTTAAAGAAACACTATAGGGTCAGCAACATAAACAGGTATTCCTGACCCTATAGTGCAAAACCCACCATACAGGTGGCTTGCCCCCCCTCCCCCTTACCTCCCTTAAAACCATTAAAAACTTACCTTATTTCTAGCACAGTGAAGGTCCGCCGGCGCTAGCTCTGCCCGCTTGGTTACTTCATCAGAAAAGCATTGGATTGGCTAAAATTGGCAAGGGTGGGAGGCCAAACGCCGTTTTGGCCAATCCACACCTCCTCATAGAGATGCATTGAATCAATGCAGCTCTATGTCAAAAATTCAGCATCCCCATGCATAGCGTGTTTTCTCTGAAAAGGCAGCGTTTGCATGAAAATGCCTGAAGGCAATTGTTATACTCACCTGAACAAATACATTAAGCTGTAGTTGTTCTGGTGACTATAGTGTCCCTTCAAATGTATGTCCTGATTTTGTCTACATTTCCTGCTTATAAATTAATAGATGTGGAAAAGAATGTGATAGGTGCTCACTCCAATATTAAATATAGAATAATTTGTAGGCTGCGGTAACCAGTACAAGGATTCCCAACCTTGTGAGAAAAGAATTCAAACAAAAGAAAAAAGAGGAACTGCGCCCCAGACAGTAATATAAGAAGTAATATACGTACAGAATTTTGTTCAAATGGTTCACGTATAACCTCAAATATAAAAACAGAGAAAAAAAATAATAGTGCAATATGGTATGGTGAATAGGTAAAATTTTAGCGTGGATTAGAGTAGTATACACTCACATTTGGTAGAGCTAACCAGGAGCTCTACCGTAATTTGCATGGACGGAACAATCCCCGTCTAATGATCTATGTGGAAGCGAATGACTCCAATATTCCAGAAAGGCGGCAATATAAAAGACATAAAAGGAAACTCCAATAGTGTAGTATATTCTGATGATAATAAGAGGAAATAAAATAAAGAATATGATACTCACATTTACTAGAGCAGAAACTTGCTCTAGTATACTCAGTTTAGGTGGTATAATCCCCACCAGAGGATATGTTGACCAGGAAGTAAGGTTTAGAATAAAAAAATAAATAGATGTATATAGCTTTAAAATACACTATTTAATAACATATAAATAAAACAAAAACAAGGTGCCATAAGAAAAGTCCCACTTAACGCGTTTCACCTATCACAGACTTCTTCAGAAGTGTGGGAAAGTCTTTAAGAGTGTCCTTTATATAGGGAATACAATTATAGAAAATTACTTCCTGGTGTGTCCAATATCCTGTTACCACTCGTGAAACGCACGCGTCGCACCTGAAGCGGTTGCATGTGGTAATATTATGTGTTCCAGCTTGGAACGCATTGGCGCCATTATGGGGCCGCATGCGTTCCATTCAGCAGATACCACTTATCGGGTATAGTTGCAAAAAAGAATTCTTTAGGTTCCCGCAGTGTTAGATGTATTGTGGGTGCACATCATCAATATTGTTTTGTTATATATTGTAGATGGGCGCATGTTCCCGGCGTCCATACAGGGTGACGTCACTAGGTCTCCGTGGGCGTACTCAGAATCAGGCGGCAGTTATTTCGGCCATATTGATGAAGGGCAGAGTGT